CATGGGTTTTTTCATAGACAAGTCCCTCAAACCTCAACATTTCACAATCCCAGAGCCTCATAACTCTCCATCTTCCTCAGTTCAAACACCTCAGTTTGCATCAGTCGTTGGATCCCTTCTCTTCAGCAAAACTAGAACTCAACCTGCTATCAGCCACAAGGCTGGCTCCAGCATTTCTGCAGCCCCAAGCAAAAAAAAAAAGCCGTGATCGCGATTGGTGGCAGCAATTGAAAAAAAAAAAAGCCGCGATCGGCGGCGGCAGTTCAGCGGCAGGTCCTTCACTCCTAGAGGGAGTGAGGGACCTGCTGCCCCCGAATTGCCGCAGGTGCCACCCCTCTCCCTTGGCCGCCCCAAGCACCTGCTTGTTAACCTGGTGCCTGGAGCCGGCCCTGATCAGCCATGAGGCTCCTTTTCCTGCTCTTTGCTGTTCTCTTCTAGGCTGCTCCAGGCAAGGTGTAAAACAAAGGATCAGGAGACTAGAAAAGCATCTTGTGTATGTCAACAAGGAAGATAAAATAATTATCCATTGAGGGACCAAATCGTGATCCTCAAGCTGTGTTCAGGACCAGCGTAGTTTACGAAAGAGTAAACACGTAAGTACTTTCACAGGAAAAAATACCTAATACTACATGGCTTTTTCATCTAGGAGACAAAGCAATAATAAGATCCAATGTCTGGAAGCTGAAGTCAACACAATTCAAACTTGAAATAAGATATATATTTTTTTAACAGTGAGGGTCATTAACCCCTAGAACCGATTGCCAAGGGAGGTGGTAAATTCTCCTGCCATCGGAGTCTTTAAATCAAGACTAGATGTCTTACTAAAAGATATGGTCTAGTTCAACCATAAACTATTGGGCTGGATGGAGGAACCACTGGGTACAATTTAATTGCTTGGGTTAAGCAAAAGGTCAGACTACTTGATCACAATGGTCCCTTAGGGCTTTAAAATCTCTGAGTATATAGTGCTGTGGACAATATAGGTAAGGGATTTGGATTGTATTAAAAGAAAACTATGACACCTTCAGTTAGAAAGTTCTGATAAGGAGAAACGTCTTGGCATAAAGAGATTCTGAGTTTATGTAGGGTCCACTGTAAGACCTGTGCAAATTCCCACATAAGTTCTCCAAATAGAGTGTCAGTGGTTCAAAGGCCTCGTGCGACCCTGAACAGGGGTGAAAATCACCCTTGAAGAACAAGTTATGATGTGAGTAAGAACAACAGCCTCTCATTTGGCTAATGCACCAGGAAGTGAACTGAGGACTTCCTGAGCTAAAAGCACGAATAACCACGTCCTGAGCTAAGGAACCAAGCCTCTGTAGTGTGAGCCTGTAACAGCTCATAGCCTCTGCTGAATGGCACCCAGGGGGACTTGTGACACTCACCTGTGGGTTACATAAGACTTGTCAGTCAGGCGTTAGACATTGACAAAGGTGCATTAGATGGAATTACTGCATGGGGGACAGTATTGCTTTACAGTGTGGGGCAAGTCTTCAGCTAGTGTAAATTGATGTCAAAGAAACTGTACCAGGTTCCACCATGAGAGGTTCTGGGCCCCATATTTCTTTTTCACTTGCTATTTTATGTTTAATTAATTGTGGTTTTTGCAAAACTTGAGCCTGAAAGACAGAGAGAGAGAGAGAGAGAGAGAGAGAGAGAGAGCACTTGCTTTCCTTATTTGAGAGTTAGGGTTAGGGTAAGGAGAGCAGCCATTTTCAGAAGGGTGGTACTTTTTGCCAGGTAGCTGGGTCACCTGTTTAAATAAAGGTGGGAATTCTCTGTCCTCAAATGTTGCAGTTGGCTAACTGCGCTGAATTTGACCAGGAATATCTGCATCCATCATTCAGTTGCTGGGTACTTACTGCATCTGTAGATCTGAAACTGAATGTCATATTTTACCTGGCTTTATGAATATAAGCAAAAAATCAGAAAGTTTCTTTTGTCTCTGCAGGAGATCACCTACCTGAGAGCAACTCTTCCTGTCCACGCTGAATCTCTGGGAGATGTCCTTTCACTTCTAAAGCCATTGGCTCCTGCTTCAATGGAAGCCTAAAATGCTTTTCACTTGGGCTGGGAAGAATCTTATGAGCTGGAGAAAATCCAAAAGGGAACGCGTCAGGCGTGATAACAAGGTTTGTTATTCTCCTTTTCATAAAAGGAAGAGTAGCTGTGAAATCATCTCACGGAAATTTGCTTGTATGCACGGAGATGGATTTTCCATCCTTCTCTGTAGAAATCCCTTTATTTAATTAAATGACAGTAGGAAGAAATTATATATACAAATCACTGTTGCATGTTAAATCCATGCACAGGGATTGAGATCACTGAGACCTATGCACCTCTATGTGTCACACCCAGAGCACACCCAGATGTATCTTTGTTTCATGCATGTTCCTTATCCTCTCTCGCTGTATTATTCTCAGATGAGTTTGCTCAGTCACAGTTTGGCTGAATGGTGCCTCATGACAAACGAATCCTGCAGGCCACATAAAAACCTCAAGACAAGATTTTCAAACATGACTAAGGATTTCAAATGCCTCCATTTTGGGGGTCCCAGTTTGAGACCCCTTAAAGAGTTTCCATCTTCAGACAATGCTGAGCCCCTGCTCTCTGAGAAACAGGCCTTTTAGGGTGTCTCAGTATGAGCCTGACAATAGAGATGCCCAAAATCACTATAACATCTATATTCACAGGGCTCTTGGAAATACAGGGCCAAACTGCAGTGAGTGAGGCTGCATTTGCTTATACCAGGGTTGAATTTGTCCCACTGTCACTTATTAGCTCCTTTGGATACAGACATCAGTGTCCATTCCTCTTTCTAGTTGCTTATTGTGCAGTTTAATAGTGTCTGGCTATTCTGATACATGTGAAGACCAAAGGCAGGTTCTCCAAATAGAGTGAGTCAGACACCTTTTCAGGTGAGCCACCTTATTCCAGTTAGAAGCGTATGCAGAGAAAGTCCTGGCTTAGAGCAATGTGAGATGTGTGGAAGAAACATGCAGGGGTTTGGTCTCCCCTTTACTACTAACCTTTAGAGCTGGGCAAATTTTTTCAGCCAAAACTTTTTTTCAGCGAAGCGTGCAGATTCAGGTGGAAAGAAACTGTCCACAAGTTCAGGTGTTTTGAACTAAAAAAAAATGCGAATGTTCCAGATGGTTCATTTGGACATTTTCAGAACAAACCATTTTGATTTTTTTTCTGGCTAGAGTCACAAGGGGCTTAAGCACTAGTCACAGAAACCAAGGAGAATGAGTTGCTGCCTTCCCTCCTCTGCATAGCCCCATGGTTAGGCCACTAACCTCGAATGGAGGAGACCCACGTTCAAGTCCTTGCTCTAGAGCCAGGAGTCAATGTCACTTAAGTCCCCTTGTGAATTTAGCCTGAAAAATCAAAATGGTTTGTTTGGCAAACGTTGGGAATGAATCATTTTGACATCTGTGATTTTTTGCTCAACCAAAACAATTTGCCAAAATTGACGCTAATTCACAAAATATTTTGGTTGACCTGAGTGTACATTTTTCAGAGACTCAAAGTTTCAGCTGAAAAATTCACCTGGCTTTACTAGTAACAACTTTTTGCATGTAATATTTAGGTAACAATCAGGCAGCCACAAGAAGGCGGTCCACATGGCCAAATATGGAATAAAGTTATCACTCTGACTTTCAATTCCCCTTTGGCTCTGCTCTTGACATGTATGTATAGGGTCTTCCCATCACTAGCACTCCTTTTACTGGAAACATTGGCCAAAGGCCTGGCTTGAGGCGCTTCAGAATTGCTGTTTCCAGTCTTTCGTGACTGCACTTTCGCAGCTATGGTTGGTCACCTTTGGTCTCATGTATATTGTGCAATATGCATATGCAGTATGCACTGGTAATATAAAGCAGGTATTGCTATTAGCCTCAAGCTGTGTCAAAAGGCACAACCCTTTCAAACTTTGAAATGCATATTTCTCAGACAGCCTAGAGGTACTCAGGGCAAAATTCAATAGCTCCTTTCTCTGTCCCGTTTTCCAGTAGATGGTTCTATAAGCAGGGCTGGTAGTAGGGTGACCAGATGTCCCGATTTTATAGGGACAGTCCTGATTTGGGGGTCTTTTTCTTATATAGGCTCCTATTACCCCCACCCCCTGTCCCGATTTTTCACATTTGCTGTCTGGTCACCCTAGCTGGTAGAGACTTTGTGATGGAAAAATGTTCCCATTGGAAAATGGGGTTTCACCAGAATTGAAATTTTCTGTGGGAACATGTTGATTTTGATTAAAATGTTTGATTTTTCACAGGGAAAAATTAGTCTCAGAATGAAAATTCAAAGCAAAGCAAAATATTTCATTTAATTTCAATCTGAATGTTTCATTTTACAAATTTAAAATCAAAAGGAAGTTCTTTGGTAAAGATTCCATTCCAGAGGGGAGAGGGAGGGGACCGGGGACCCACATGGCTTTTGGGACCAAACACAAGGAGCACTTGGACAGCAGCTCTGAGACATGGCCCTCCCTGCTCCCAGCACGTCTGGGTGCCTCGTGAGAAGATGGCTTCACAGAGCACTCATTCCCTCCTCCTGCTGATGCAGCTTCCTTCCTCACAGTGGTGGGAGGAAGCCATATTTGGTGTCCTACAAGCAATGCAAAGTTTCCCCAGAGCTGAGAGCACTGACGCCTGGAATGGTGAGGGACTGCAGCTGCTACTCCTACAACTCTCATCTCCTGCTCTTCCCTCCTCACTGCCCCTTGCTCCCCCTCATCTCTCATCGCTCATCCTAACCTGTCCACCGGGTAAATAGGGTTGCTTTGTTTGCGTGTCCATGGGAAACTTCAGGAGACCACCAAGCACCCACAATACCCCAACCTCATCTAAAAAACTAACTCAAAATGACTACTCTAGCACTTCCTGTTCTGAGCTGACATGTTAAATTGTTTGGTTTCTGCTTTAAAAGTGGAAGGTTTTCACTGAGACGTTTCTGATTTGAAACTCTTCAGAGTTTTTCATTATGCTAAATTTTCGCTATCTCAACTTTCTGTTCCAATTTAGAACAGGGACAAAGTTCAAAATGTGGAAATTCCCCCTGGAAAAAAAAATCCATTCCTTGACCAGGTCTGCTAGGTAACATATTTGAACAAAAGTCAGAGTGCAGTAACAAGGGTACATTTAAGTGATACAGACAGACAGATAGGGAATAAAGCAATCACTCCTTACTGTCAATTCCCCTTTGCCCTGTTCTCATGTGTGCATGGGATCTTCCTAAACTGGGCACTCCTGTTACTCGAAACTGGCTAAAGGTCTTGCTTCAGGCGGTTAAAAATTAGGTGAAAATCTCCTTATTCCTGTTCCCAGCACTAAGTAATGGCCTCACCTTTCCCACATGTGGTCACCTTTGGCATGACATATAGCATACAACTTGCCCTGGTAATACAGGGCAGACTTTGCTCACAAACCTCAGCTGTATCATGAGAAACCTCCAGTTGCCATTCAGTTTTCCAAATGTCCACTTCCCAGACACCCGAGGGTAAAATTAAAAAGTTCCTTTCTCTTGTCCAAATTCCAGTTGAAGGCCTCATAAGCCAGGGAGGCACAGAGTAAGCTGGACCTCCCAGAATCATATTTTTCAATTCACTCCTTCTGTATCCATTGTACAGCTGAGGGAAAACATTCTGCCTAAAAACAGAGATGAACTTCTGAGCATCTGAGCACCATAGGCTTTTCCAGACCACCCCACATTAATGTTGGTGAACCCACCTTGGTGATCCACCAAAGTCCACAGTACCAGGCAGAAACAGCCTTTCCTATTGACGAACAACCAGGGTATGTGTGGTGGGGAGGAGATAGTTAATAGGCACATGGGTTCCATCAATACAAATCTAAACTCTAAACATGAAAATCCCTCAATAATCTCCTGTACACTGCCCGCCTTGAACACCCATGGCACCAGCAATGGGCGTGGTGGATGCCTCACTGCATGCTCTCCAGGACAAGAGGCTCATCCTCTTCATCTCAATAAAAGGAGTGCAACATTCGTCTGGGATTCTTCCATGTTAGCAGTTCTGGAAGAGTAATATTGAAATGGCCAGGGCAGAAGGGCACTAAGTGAATCCTGGGATACAGCAGGCAGGATCATGGGAGTTGGATCCTTATTCCTACTAATTCCTCTGACATCCAGGTGGTGTCCCACAATCAACCATGAAAATGACACAGAATGCTGAAAGCCTCGAAACATAGCTTGGGACATCTACCCAGAGTTCCAGGCACTTCAATCAATGCCACCCTGTGCAGTGTGGATGCACAGCTTCAAAAGTGAAGTAGCTTAAACTGGTGCAGCAGTGGGAACACCCACGATCAGGATTGCTTGTATTGATTTTCTTGCATCAATATAAACCATACTGGTATAATTTTTCACACAGGCAAAGCCTTACACACATGCTAAGGGTGAACGGAGTTTCTGTGGATCCATATTCCTTGCCCACCATATTTCTCAGCACTTACTAAGATGCCTTTCTGCTATCAGAGCAGAAGCTCAGGCAAGCCTGAGAACTCTGCTCCCAGCTACTTTGTTTTGTCCTCTTAAAGGTGATCCAGCGGCCTGTTAACTCTTCTTATATATTCAGGAAATAGTCATTCAAGCAATGGGGCCAGAGAGACCGAGAGAGAAAGAGCAAGAACTGGTAAGCTTACTGCATCACAGGCACCAAGGTAGAGACTCTTTGTTTATTGCTATTACTAACAGCTATTTCACTCAAATGGTTTTTAGACACTAGGGAGAAAATCTTTCTTTGTTAAAGATTCAACACTCTGAGCTGCCAATCCCCCTCTCCTGCATCACTTCAATTAAGGGCTGAGGAAACTCCCATCCATTTCTCTGTGTCATTACACAGACCTCCCTCAAAAACAAGGAAGACCAGACTTGAATTTCCTGCTTTTTCCAATGTAAACCAAAAGCAGAAGAAAGCAAATTACAGCAAAAACAACAATAACGCTTCAAGCCTCTTGATACCTTGCACAGAAGCAAAACAGTAAATTAAAAAGGGCACAAACATAATATCCTTTTCTCCTTTGCAAGTCACCTTCAAAAGACTGTGTCTAGAACATCTACAATGCACTAGAGTATTAAGCCAACCCTGGTCTCACTTGAACAGATGCATTTCTCAGACCTGCTACCAAAGGGTGAGAATGAAGGGAGGGAAAATCACCTGTTCCACAGAATATACCAGGAGCCTCAATTTATAAGGGGGGTGCTGGCCAGTTGGCCAGGTCTCTACCATAGCAGGAGTGGGGACTGGGCCAGTCAGGCACTGGAGAATTGTAGGAGTGACAGGCCACTTACTCAAGGGGCTGGAGGGGAGTGTGGCATTGCGAACACCAAGCGTTCAAGAACCATGAGTCAGGCTCCGTACAATATGATATTGGCTTTAAAATCCTGTTATTTCAAAAATAATAGATGTGGGTTCTTTAGATTTGTCTTATACCTCGAGGGTGCATGATTTCAAGCTTTTCTTCACAGATTGTTTTTCCCAGGAAAGCTGAGATGATCATTTGAGCACATGTTTGGATCCACAGAAATAGGAAAATACTTGAAATATACGTAGGATACTGATAACAATTATATAAGACAACAAACCCACAAAAGAGATCCTGTTGCCAAGCCACGTCTCAGGTTATGCCGTTTGCTCCAGTGGCATCTGTGGTGTTGTAGGAATGATAATTGTTACTATTAAAGTGTAAAATGTCATGTGCCTTAAGCCAAGACTGCAACACCTCACTATTTCACAACCTCTAGGGGCCTATAAATACAGGGACTATTTCCATCTCCTCTCTATCTTGGTGTCTCTTCTTTCCAGTGGTGCGGACATCCTGACCAACCTTCAGCCATGAGGATCCTTTACCTTCTCTTGGCTGTTGTCTTCTTGGTGCTCCAGAGTGCTCCAGGTAAGATGTAAATGAAATTGAAGGATAATATAGGTGGATATTTGTGGCTTATAGCAAAATTGTCTGACACTCTCCATTATAACAAAATTTCCAACTGTTTTTCTTCTAACACCTCCATGGTTTGCAGGAGAAACTTGAAAGTTGGCAAGGGAATAGTCCAAGGGTTAGGAAAGTGCCTTTGTTGCCTTATGAAAATCCATTCACATGTAGCTGAATTATAATCTTTAGAAAATCCCTTTTTCATTTGTGCTGTCCTCAGTAGAGCTTGTTAGAGGCCTGCTACTAAAAGTCTCAAGTTTCTGTCTTCACTGCACATGCTCTTGCTTCAGCACGGCACAGAGAACTGAACAGCCAGACAAGACACCGACAAACAGAACCCTCCCCCTTTGCCCTACCTCCCCCAAACTACCCTTTGGTCTGGGGGAAAGTGTATTGAGTTGGGAATAAGGAGCTCGTTAATTAACATTGAATTTCTGCTGAGCCGTGTTCATAAGTCTGTTCTCTTGTGATCTTTATAGCCCTGCCCCACTTGAGTTACCTCGATTTCTCATTTGCCCCCTGCTGAGTTTCTGTTTTCACCTTTAGTAACTGCTCCTTCTTTGGGTTGGATCTCACGATCCTGCCCCTTCTAGACCAAAACAAGGATAAGTGTCTAGTTCCATAGACCCCTTTAACTTGCAGGTCCCTGTGCATAAGGCTGTCTACAGGGCTCCCTCCTCCCAGAGAGAGAAGAGAGTTTGAACCCTCAGGCCGACCAGGTCTCTTTTAAAAACCATGTTCTTTATTTAAAGGTTCAAATGACAGCAGAAATAGGACTAAATGAACCAAAACACATACCCTGTCTAGGCACCAGAATGTACTATGGATTAAACGAAATAAGGAGAATTCAGCTGAAATTACAGACAAAACCAGAACCAACTCAGAGTACGTCTACACTCCAGATCTTACAGCTGCACACCTGCAGCATTACAGACACTTACTATGGAGGCAGAAGGGCTAAATCCACCCCCTTGAGAGGCAGTAACTAGGTCAACGGAAGAATTCTTCCATCAGTCTAGTGGTGTCTTCACCTGGGCTTAGGTTGGTTTAACAACATCTCTCAGGGATGTGAAAAATTCACAGCCCTGAGGCGACATACCTAGGTTAACCTAAGTTTTAGGTGTAGACCAGTCCGCATATTTCTTTCTGTGACCTACCCCAGTCTGAGGCTTGGTCTACCCTGAAATGTCTGATTGGCATAGGGGTTGGTCAGGGGTGTGAAAAAATCCACCCCTGACTGACATAACTATGCTGACAACCCTACCAGTGTAGATGCAGATAGGTTGATGGAAGAGTAATTCTGTCAATGTACTTAGCGTTGTGTGGGGCGGTGGTGTGCCTCCGTCAACAGAACAACGTCTGTCCCTGTAGGTTCTGTCTGGTTTGTATGGCTATGTGAGTATAGCCTCTGTAGTGCAGACACAGCCCTAGCACACAGCCACTCTTGCTATGTCCCTCCCTCATGAGCCAGTGTCTGTGTTCCATTAAAAGACTTCTCCTCTGCTGGGTCAAGGAGTCTATTACCATATTTCCTATACTTTTTGTTTCAGGAGATACCTATAGGGGAAGATTTGTTTTCCTTCCCCCTAATCCAATTAGTCCAGTTTCCTGGGCTGCATGGCCCCGGAGTTCTGGCAATCAACCATCAATGACTCAGTATAGCCTCTTCCACTGTAGGAGCAGATGGACCATTTGTCCTCTAACGGCTCCATAGCCTCAAAAACCAAAACCAAACCAGCCAAACAAACAAAAATCTTGAGACACAGGGTACATATTTTAGTTATTCATCCAAACAAGAATGAATAAGGATCTTAAATGATCACATACCTTAAACACATATCTCCGAATTTGTCACAGCCCTTCACAAATGTTGCTAAGGCAGGTCTCACGCCCTATGGAGAGGTTACACAAACTGCAAATATAACCCAGATCTCTACCAGAGCAGACTCTCATCTCACGGCCTTCGCAACACTGTCTTTCAGAAGGAACCTGCCCCGTCTATGTGCTTGGCTTCATTCCTGGAAATGCCATCATTGGGGCGGGACAGTGTGTAGGGCAATGAAAACAGTTTAAGATCTGGGCTTATATCTATGGAGGGTGGATAGTTTTATGAAAGCAGAGCTACCTCCAGTTAAAAATATTCTGCCCTAAGTTTCCTATTGCATGAGGTGCTAGACATAAAAGTTACATAAACTAGTAAAGTTGTTCACTGGAAGATAACTGGGCTGATTTTGCTGGGTCTCAAGGAATGAGAAATCCTGTCATGTGGAAATCACACCTCTTATTTACTCTGCTCTGCACATGGAAACTAAGACTCCTTTTCTTTGCAGGATTCACCCAGGCTCAGAACATCATTCAGTGTATACGTCTTGGGGGTTCCTGCCGGAGTGGGTCATGTCCCAGCGGTTTTGCTCGTATTGGCACCTGCAGCGGTTCAGACAGCTGCTGTCTACTGTAAGTTCAGAATATTGGCGAGGCAACACAGCAGGGCTGGCAGGAATGTTTGTTACTCTCTGTTTTATATACACATGATCGCGCAATCACATTTGTTTAGGAAGAAAACCACTGTTTCCTAGCCAGGGCCGCCGAGAGCGGGTTCGGGCCCCGGTGAAAAAAAATTTTTGGGCCCCCCAGCAAGGGCGGACCGGCTAAACAGGGCCAACGAGGGGGGGAAGCCGGGCCCGGAATTTTTTCGGGGCCCCCAGCAAGGGCGGACCGGCTAAACAGGGCCGACGAGGGGGGGAAGCCGGGCCCCGGGCCCCCTCCCGGACTGCCGGGCCCCGGTAATTTGTACTGGCTTCACCCCCCGCCCCTTCGGCCCTGATGCTAGCTCCGGGAGAGAGTCTGGGTAGCCCCCCATGGATGTGAAACACCAATGGCGGAATCTAGGGGGAAAGGAGGCTTGAAGCTGCAGTGACTCAGCATATATTAGATCAACCTTGATGGCTGTTCTAATTTACAGCAGCCTTACTGAGGCTGTGTGGAGCTACCCAGAATCTCTACAGCCTCACAGCCCTGGCATCTCCCAGTACCATCCCCTTCACCATCCACGGTGCCAATGCTTGGAAGGAGTGGGTAGCGCAGGGTCTATTATACCAGCACTATGCTGCTCATGGACTGGGCCTTGAGGTGTCCGTACACCCGATATACGCAGCCAGACTGCCACATAGGGCCACAGGCCAGAATCAGCCTTGGAAATCTAAATTAATTGAGGAATAGTGAAGACAAGATAGAAAAAAATAAATCTCGAGGAGAGAGCGCGGGGGCTGCCTCTGCTCTGTAGCTGCCTGCAGCAATTCTGAGACCCATGCTGCGGACAGGCGGCACATTTAGACATGCAGTGCACAGAAAGGAAGAGCCTAAAGGGGTTGTTTACATTACAGGTTGAACCAGTTTAACCTTTAGTCAGTTACAAATCTTAAGGAGTTAAACTACTGCCAAACAGTGTGGACCTTGGTATTTCTATATAGTCCAGTTTAAACCAGTTTCATAGAAATATTTTTTTCCTGAGTAAGTTAAATCTATATTCACATGCCAAACCCTGTCCCCTCCAATCCCCCCCGCAAAAAAACCCTTTGTTTAAACTGAAATAAAAGTGTCCACTGTGTGTTTTTCAAAGAGTTCACTCAATTGGTTTAAAATCACACTTTTAGTTAAAGCAGTGCAACTTGTGAGATAGGTTATATCTACACTTACAGCAGTGTGTAGAGTACAGGCACTGCCCATGTAGCCACCTGCCACAGTGAAAAACAGGCCGTGCCTGTGTTCATTGCAGTGAATGTAAGAACGGCCATACTGGGTCAGACCAAAGGTAGCCCAGTATTCTATAATATATGGAGATATCCTATCTCATAGAACTGGAAGGGACCTTGAAAGGTCATTGAGTCCAGGTCCTCGCCTTCACTAGCCAGACCAATTTTCCCCCCGGTCTCTAAGTGGCCCCCTCAAAGACTGAGCTCACAACCTTGGGTTTAGCAGGCTAATGCTCAAACCACTGAGCTATCCCTCCCCCTAAGCTGATACCAGGTGCTTCAAAGGGAATGAGCAGCACAAGGCAATTATTAAGTGATCCATCACCTGTTGTCCAGTCCCAGCTTCTGGCAGTCAGAGATTTAAGGACACTTGGAGCATGGGGTTGCATCCCTGACTGTCTTGGCTAATAGCCATTGATGGACCTATCCTCCATGAACTTATCCAATTCTTTTTTAAACCCAGTTATAGTTTGACCTTCACAACATCCCCTGGCAGCAAGTTCCATAAGTTGACTGTGCGTGTGTGCAGGGCTGGTGCACACAGCAAGCAGGTGCCTGGGGCGGCCAATGAAGAGGGGGGCGGCATGTCCGGCCGTTCGGTGGAGGGGCCATCACTCCCTCTAGGAGCGAAGGACCTGCTAATGAAGTGGTGGTAGAGCTGCCACCACTTGTGATCGCGGCTTTCTTTTTTTTTTCCCGCTGTCTCTGCTTGGGGCAGCAAAAACGCTAGAGCCAGCCCTGGTTGTGTGAAGAAATGTTTCCTTTTGTTTGTTTGAAGTGTATAGCTACCCGCCGAAGTGAAAGGATCTGACAGTAGGGAGGAGGCAGGGAAACGCTCTGGCTGCTCCCCACTGCGGGAGCCCTCCACTGTGACGAGGAAAGGCTGTGGTGGCGGGGAGTGGGGGCCGGCAGTGAAGAAAGGCTCTGGCAGCCGCACAGTATGCTGCTAAAGATAGCGGTATGGATGGGGAACCACTGCTTGGGCACGTAGTCAACTGTATAGGATATATACCCTGGGGGGTTCAGGTGTGTAGGGCACTCTACTCACCTAAGCCATGCCTTAGCATGCACACGGCTATTTACACCCATGCTGGCTGGGTGTGCAATGTCTGTACTCTGCATGCTCACGTAAGTGTAGATGGACCCATAGGCAAACCCTGAGAGGTTTGAGTTTACGTAGAGCCCTGGGTGAATGTTAATGTGCGTGAGGATGGGGGAGGTGTTTCTAGGAGCGTGTTTATGAGTCTGAAGTGATGGAGACTGAGTACATTTGAATGCGTGTGAGACAAATGAATGCGCAAAGACCCTGGGTGATTTGGGGCATGGCACACAAGAAGAAGTTTCTCTTCTTCTTCTCTAGGGAGATCCATTCCTAATTTCTTTGACAATTTCAGCATTTTTCATGCCATTTTGGCAAACAGTTGTGCACCACATCCCAAAATAAAGCGACTGAAGCGTATTGCGTCTCCTGGTTGAAATGCAGAGGGAGAGAGTCACAACATTTTTTTGACAGGTTTCAGAGTAGCAGCCGTGTTAGTCTGTATCCGCAAAAAGAAGAACAGGAGTACTTGTGGCACCTTAGAGACTAACATTTTTTTGAAAATTTGAAAACTGTTTTCATTTCAAAGTTGAAAAAGGAAATGATTTTGGGTATTCCCCTCCCCTGCAAGTTCAGATGCCTGGTATATACCTGGTAAGCCAAGTAGGCAGCCAAGTCATCTCTTTAGATACATCTGACTATCCCCATTAAAACTCTATAGTAGACTGTTGCAATGGGAAAATGAATTCCCTGCACTAGAGTTAACTATGTATATCTACACTCACCAGTCAGTGACTGCACATTCCTACTGTGCTGTTTGATCGGAAATCAGTCACATTTTCCCTGTTTTTATGTGAATAAACAAAGAATATGAGAGTCTTTTTTCTTTGTGCAGGTGGTGATGGCTCTGCTGATTGTGCAAGCAGGACCTCTGGGAATTTGGGAGACGTCCCCTCATTTCTAAAATCACTGAATCCTGCTGCAATGGAAGCACCATTCATTGGGGCCGTAAAGAACCGCATGAGCTGGAGAATTTCCAGAAGAGAGCCCTGGTATCACCCGTAAAGAGATTCCCTCTTAATTCAATCAAGTTGCTTTGAAAACTCAATGCTGAAATGTGTGTTTGTGTCACAGTGGGTGGGGTGGGGTGGGGTGGGGCTTTTCTGCCATTCTTCTCCATAGAAATTAATTTCTTTTTTCAGTTATAAATAAAATACAAAGCATGTTAAATCCACATGTGCCTGTTTATTGACCATGATCTACACATCTCTGTATGTGTCAATGAGCTCAGGTGGATCAATCTATTTCTTACACAAGTGACAACTCCTTTTGGTTTGTGTTGTGTCCGAGGAGCCGGTACAGTCGCAGTGCTCCATGGCTGCCATATCCCCTGTCCTGTTCTTATTATGAGAATCTATGGGCAAATGCCACAGGGTCTTTACTGGGACTTCTCTGAGGGGTGCAAGCACCTCTGTCGTGTTGTCCAGACTGCCCCATTTCATGCTGCCATTAGCTCCTCTATCTGTACCTCTACAATACACCTCTCTCCTTCAGTTTTGCACTGATAGCAGTACAGCTCTGGGGGAAGCGTGAGCCATAGAGAAGCTGCATCTTTGTACTGCCTCCTTCCACTCCCAACACATGGGGCTTATCCCCTCCTCAAGACCCCCTGTGTAACCCCTGCCTGGGAGCTCCATAGCACCCTAATCTCCAGTCTATGCCAGATCCTCCCTCTCCTTCTCTCCACTCCAACCTTCACACCCTCAGGTCCCCTTATCTTGTGCAAGAGCTTCCAGCTCTGGTCGTATACGTCATGTTGCACTTGCAGATATTTAATGATGGTATCAGACCTTGCAAACCTTTCAGCATGCACATGGGGCCTCGGAAGTTTTATTGTCTGAGGCCTGATTTCAGGAAGATTGATAAGACTGAAAAGAGAAAGATTCACCTCTTTGTG